ACTAAATTCATTATAATTGAAATTATTCAATATTTGATGATATAGAACGTAAGTTATTTAATTACTAATTATCATTTATTTAAGTATAATTTATAAATATATTAAATTCATTATAATCGAAATTATTCAATAATTGATAATATAGAACGTAAGTTAATTATTAATTATCATTTATTTATGTATAATTATAAATATACTAAATTTATTATTTAAATTATTTTGATAATATAGAAGGTAAGTTATATGATTACTAATTATTGTTTATTTAAGTATAATTTATAAAATATACTAAATTTTGTATTTAAAATTATTAATATTTGATGATATAGTCAGTAAGTTATTTATTTGTTTATTATTAATTATTTATGTATAATTTATAATATATACTAAATTAGATTTATAATTATTTAATAAAATAGCCTGTAAGTTTAATGATTTCTAAAATTTATTTATTACAAGTATAATTCATAATATATACTAATTAGTATTTAAAATTATTTAATAATATAGCTTGTAAGTTATTTAATTACGAAATATTATTTAATTATGTTTAATTATAAAATATATTAAATTTTGAATTTAAAATTATTAAATGATATAGCCAGTAAGTTGTTTGGTTACTAAATATTATTTATTTAAATATTATTTATAAAATATATTAAATTTAATATTTAATATTAATCAATGATATAGCTCGTAAGTTATTTGATTACTAAACATTATTTGTTTACGTATAATTCATAAAATATACTAATTTAATAATGAAAATTATTTAATATTTAATGAATATTTAATAATATAGAGTGTAAGTTATTTGATTACTAGTTATCATTATTTATAAACTTTAATAAATTTAATATAATTGTCATTATTCTATATTTAATATAGATGGTAAGTTAATTGATAATTTATTTATAAACTTTTATAAATTGTTTATAATTAATATTATTTAATATTTGATAATAGGTTGTAAGTTACTTGATTACTAATTTTTGTTTATTTTAATGTATAATTATATATTAAATTTATTTAAAATCTTTAATAAATAGCAAGTAAGTTATTTTATTACTAATTATTAATTTTTAAGAATAATTTATAAAATATACTAAATTCATTATAATTAAAATTATTCAATATTTGATGATATAGAACGTAAGTTATTTGATTACTTATTATCATTTATTTATGTATGATTATAAATATATTAAATTATTATTTAAATTATTTTGGTAATATAGGAGGTAAGTTATTGATTACTAATTATTATTTATTTATATATATATTTACTTAGTTATTATATTTAATGTTTAATGATATAGCTGGTTAGTTATTTTATTAATTATCATTTAATTAATTAAAATTTATAAATATATTAAATTTAAAATTAAAATTATTATATTAATGATATAGCAAGTAAGTTATTTAATTACTAATTCTTATATAATTTATAATATATATTAAATTTAATATTTAATATTTTATGATATAGCTTGTAAGTTATTTGATTACTAGTTATTATTATTTATATATTATATATAAAAATACACTAAATTTTATATTTAAATTATTCAATATTTGATGATATAGTTAGTAAGTTATTTGATTATTCATTATCATTAATTTATTTATATAATATATTAAATTTAATATAAACTTATTTAATATTAGATGATATAGCCAGTAAGTTTATTTTATTACTAATTAATATTTTTATGTATAATTATAAATATTCTAAATTTATTATTTAAAATTATTTAATGTTTAAAGATATAGAAGGTAATTTAATTGATTACTAATTATTATTTTTTTATAAATTATACTAATTTATTATAATTAAAAATTATTCAATATTCATGATATAGTCTGTAAGTTATTTGATTACTAATTATTTATTTATTAATATATAATTTTAATATACAGTATACTAAATTTAATATTGTTAATATTTTTTAATGTTTATATAGCAAGTAAGTTATTTGATTATTAATTTTTATTATATTTTTAATAGAATATATTAAATTTAATATACAATATTTTATGATATAGCCGGTAAGTTATTTTATCACTAATTATCATTTTTTATATATATTTATAAAATACATTATAATTATTTAATTACTAATTATTATTTATTTATAAAATATACTAAATTTATTATAATTAATATTATTCAATATTAGATTATACAGCCAGTAAGTTTTTTCATTGCTAGTTATTATTTATTTAAATATAATTTATAAATAAACTGAATTTATTATATTAAATTTTTTTAATGTTTGATATATAGAACGTAAGTTATTTGATTATTAATTATTGTTTATTTATAAATAATTTTTAATTTAATTTAAATTTATTATATTATTTAATTCTTGATAATATAGGAGGTAAGTTATTTATTACCTTATCAATTGTCATTTATTTAAGTATAATTTATAAAATATACTAATTTATTATAATTTAAATATGATCGATAATATAGTTTGTAAGTTATTTAATTATTAAAATTGTTTATTTATATATTATTTATGATATATATTTATTAATTTATTATAATTAATATTATTTAATATAGTCAGTAAGTTATTTGATTGCTTGTAATCATTTTTATATATTACATATAAAATTAAATAAATATAATATTAAATTATTCAATGTTTAAATAATATAGCTTGTGAGTTTTTGATTATAATTTATTGTATAATTTATAATATATACTAATTATCATTTAATATTTAATGATATAGCCTGTAAGTTACTTAATTACTAGTTATCATTTTTATATATTATTTATAAAATACATTAAATTTTATATTTAAATTAATAAATGTTTGATAATACAGTCAGTAAGTTATATAATTTATTATTTATCATTTTTATTTGTATTATTATATAATATTTTAAATATATTATTTAAAATTATTTAATATTTAAAGACATAGATAGTAAGTTATTTATTATTAATTATCATTTATTTATATATAATTTAATAATTTTACTAAATTTAATTTATTATAATTATTATAAAGATGGTAATTTATTTGATTATTAGTAAAATATTTAAATATAATTTATAAAATATATTAATTTATTATAATTTAAATTATTTAATATTTGATATAGAACGTAAGTTATTTGCTTGTTATTTATATATAATATATAAAATATACTAATATTTGAATTATTTAATATTTAATGATATAGTCAGTTAGTATTTAATTTTTAGTTATTAGTTATTATTTATTTAAATTTTATAAATAAACTTATAAAATTTATTATAATTAATATTCGATAATATAGAACGTAAGTTTTTGATTAATATTTATTATATTATATAAATACTAAATTATTATAATAATATAATTAATATTATTTTAATATTTTAATTATATAGCTAGTAGATTATTTATTATTAATAATTGTTGATTTAAATATAACTTATTATATACTAAATTTATTATATTAAAATTATTCAATATTTGGTGATTTAGTTAGTAAGTTATTTGATTACTAACAATTATTTATTTATGTATATTTATAATATATACTAAATTTATTGTTTTAATATTTGATAATATAGAACGTAAATTATTTAATTATATATTATCATTTATTATATAAAATTTATAATTTATACTAAATTTAATAATTTAATAGTTAATGATTTAGAATGTAAGTTTATTTTATTACTAATTATTATTTATTTATTTATAATTTATATTATATATTAAATTAATTATAATTATTATTATTTAATATTTAATAATATAGACGGTAATTTATTTGATTACTAATTAATTAATTATTTATATTATATATTAATTTAATTATTATTATTTAATAATATAGATGGTAAATTATTTGATTATTAATGATCATTTATTTTTATATAATTTATTAATTTTTATAAATTTAACTTATTTAAAATACTTAATAGAAGGTAATTTATTTAATTACTATTATCATTTATTTAAGTATAATTATAATTTATACTAAATTTTTATAACTAACTTTATTTAATGTTTAATAATATAGATAGTAAGTTATTTGAATTATTAATCATTTTATTTATATTTAATTTATAATCTAAATTAAAATTTATATTATTTAATATTCTATGTTTTATAATATAGAAGGTAAGTTATTTGATTATTAATTATTGTTAATTAATTAATTATTTATTTATAAATTATATTTATTATAATTATATATTTATTTTAATATTATTCAATGGTTAATAATAGTCTGTAAGTTATTTAATACTAATTATTATTTATTTATATTTTATAATATATACTAATTATTATAATTTATATTATTTAATATTTAATAATATAGCCAGTGAGTTATTTGTTTACTAATTGTTATTTATTTTTAAATAATTTATAAACTTTAATAAATTTTTATTTTTAAAATTTTCAATATTTGATAATATAGGAAGTAAGTTATTTATTATATGATTTTATAAATTTTAGATTTATTATAATTAATATAATTATCATTATTTCAACTGAATTTTATTTAATTATAGTTTGTAAGTAATTTATTTTTTCATATGAATTTATTTTTAATTATTTTTATTATATTTTATTTACATATTTCAATAATTTTAGTAGGTATGTTGTATATTGTGTATTTTATTATTTGTTATATAATTAAATAAAGCAAATTTTTTTGTAAAATAAATAAATTATAATTAAATATAATAGAAGGTAAATATTTATATGTTATATTTTGATAATATATAAAAAGTTAAAAAATGTGAATTTATTATATAATAATAATTATTGCAAAATTTAAAAATATTATTTATTAATTTAATAATTAACAATAAAATAGAATTTGATATAAAAGATCATTTAAGCCAAAAAATTTTAGATTGGCACATTTCTATTAGTCCAAATGGAGAATATATTATTATATTTAATCATAGTAATTTAAAATTATTATTATTTAGATTATTATTCTATAAATTAATTCTTTATATTTTTATTATAGAAACTATGGAGTTTAAGATTATTAAATATAGTCAATATAAAGAAATTGATAAGGCAAACTTATGTAAATTTGATGATAGTCAGTTTGAAGAATATAAATCTCAATTTAAAGAAAGTATATATATGTTAGCAATATCAAATAAATTTGAAGACAATTTCATTTTTGTTGCAATATCTTATGTAATAGAAATGGATTTACATGTTAAAAAAGATGAATCTGTTATTGATATTGATGATCAAATCACTATTGATAATAATAAAAGAAAGCAACCTTTAAATGGAAAAACAATTATCTATAAAGTAATTTTAGATTCATCTAAACAAGAAAAAATTAAACCATACAAAAAAGAAGAAATTGGTGGAATTGTTTCTTTTGTTTATGAGAAAAACAATTTTAGTAAAGCAGATTGCTTTATTTTTAATGCTAAAGGAATATATAGACTTTCATTTTCTTTAAAAAATTTTGATTATTTCAAATATCCAAAAATCCTTATGGATGAATTAGATACTTTATTTAAGAACAAATCTATTTTACGAATTAAAAATTGTATTTTTGATCATTATTTTTATATTGAGCAATATAGAGAAGGTATTCAAGTTATGCAATTATATGATTTAAGAACTATGCAAATACAACAGATTTTTAATATATACGAAGAAAAAAATTATTCAAATAAAAATAGCAAATCTATATTAGCTATTTCAGAAAATGAGCAAATGATTGCCTTTTCTTCTGGATATGGAAAATTAGCTCTTTATTTAATAGAAAATGGTCTAGAAATTATTCATAAAGATTTTGGAAGGGATACAAAAATAATTGCTTCTGATTTTAAGGATGATAATAAATTAATGATTATTATTAAAAAAGCTAAACACCAGGGGGTAAACATTTTACTTTGGAATTTATATACAAATGAATATCAATATAATATTCCATTAAACAAAGTTGATATTAGTAGTTTTAATAGTGCAAAAATTCCTGGTAAATATGTATCTGTTAATAAAAATGGAAGTATATTATCGATATATGATAGTTTACATTCATTAGTTAGCATGAAAGATGCAAATAATCCTACACCAAAATTTATAATATACAGAGATGGTAAAGTACCAACTGAAATGAACGTATTAAAATTTGATAATAATATTGTTTATCATCAAGATCTTTCAAAAAAAGAAGCTCATATTCTTAAAGATAATATAGAACCATGGACAACAGATAATTATGAAAAGATATGGGTATATCTTGACTCAAAAGAATCAATGCAATTATATATTGGAAAATATACTATTCAAATATGGTGTAAAATTGAGCAAAAAGAAAATTTCGTTCTTAAATATTTTTGGGCTACTGAAGATTATAAATTACGAATATTCGAATTAGATATTTATGAAAATGGTTTTTCTCTCAAGTTAGAAAATAACATTCAGATTAAATGGTTCTATAATGATGATGATATTAATTTAATTAAGCATGCTTGCGATTCCCTTGAATATCTAATTTATCAAAGATATAAATTAATTGGATTTGAAAATCAGCATGGTAATTATCAATTCATATTATTTATTTTAAAAAAGTTTTTTTTAATAATTTTTTACATTAATATTTTATATTAAATATAGTATTCGAGGAAATTAAGTATAATATTTCTCTTATAGTTTGGAAATTTATTAGAAATTATCCGAATATTTGGAAAGTGTTGGATATTCATTATAACCTTATAGCAAAAATTATAATTGGTGGCACAAATACTCTCATTAAATTTATTCTATTTGGCGATGAAAAAGTAAAACTTAAATATTTACATATACCAAGAATATCTCGATGGATTAGTTCTGAAAAAATTACTAAAATAAATGATAATTTGAAAAAACCTACAAAGGAAAAAATTAATTTAAGTAAATTCAGTGATTTACAACTAGCTATTAAAATGTGTGAATCAGGAGGTAATTCCATTATTTAAAAATTTACAAAATTTAATTATTTAATATTAATAAATAATTTTTTATAGATATTGAACGTAACCGTAGAATTTTAATTGTAACTTATTTACTTGAATATTATACAAAAAATGCAATTGAAAATCATGGATGGTTAATTACCATTTCAAAAGCATTACCAGATTTATATACATTTAAATTAGGTTTGTATTATTTTTGTATTATAATTTTTTTAAGATCATTTTTAACTTTTTTATTTTATTTTTAAATAGAGTATTTTGTGAGCGAATTATTTTACAAAACATGTATGGAAGGTATAGAAATATCAAATATTATTGAATATATGGATTTTATGCCTAAAAACTTTCATATTATTTCAAAAAAGTTTATAGCATTTAAACCAAATTCGAATTTTAAATCGACAAGTGTACCAGGACTTAATTTTACAGCTTTAAGAAATTATGTTAAAATTTTTTCCAACGATCATGAAAACTATTTTCCGGTTGTAAAAATAGTTCCTTTACATAATTTTACTGTTAATAGAATATCTCAAAAAACTTATGACTATGAAGGTTCATTTATTATCAAAATATTGAAACTATTATTTATTCCTCGAGGTTATTTTATTAATAATTCAGATATTGCAGAAAATTTTTCACAACTTAGTCCATTTGTTCAAATCGTTAGATTAGAAAGTAATGACATATTTAATAATCCAGTAATGGAAGCTGTAATTAATTACAAATGGCGTCCGGCAAGAAATTATTTTCTTCGACTTTTCTTTATGTATATTTTATTCGCAGCTTGTTTTGCAACTATTTGTGGAAATTACGTTGCACATTCTGAAATAACAGGAAGCCATTGTAATTTTTTATTATTCCTTTTAATTCTTTTCTATTATTTAGGATGCTATTTATTAATTGTAGAATATACACAGTTTAGACATCGAGGCTGGAGATATTATATTAATTTATTTAATTGTACAGATTTAGCTTCAACTATCTTGGCAATTTTTGTAATGTCATATTGTGTTATTCCTTCATTTAATACTAAAAACGCTTTTGCTAATGCTAAGACCAGCCAAGAAAATACTATTGCAATTTCTTTTAGTATACTATTATTGTGGTTTGAATTTGTATGTATCTAGCAATTTTTTTTTTTTAAAAAAATTTTTAACTGAAAATTAAATTATTTATCAAATAGATTTTATATCTTCGGTTATTATCAGGTAATATAGAAAAATTACATTGATGTTTATATTAAATATATTTAATTTCTACAATAATCGTTTCTTTTAGAACCAGCAAAATACATCTACATTATGTTAAATATTATTAAAGAGACTTGGATATTTCTTTCTTTTATGATTCTTGTAATGGCAGGATTAGCACATAGTTTTTTACTATTATTACAATATCCTGATTTTACAAATCTTACCGAAAATTCATCATCATCTACATTATTTACGGGTGATTCAACCGAGCTCAAAATTCAAAATGATTTTGATCGAACTGAGGATAACCCAGCTAAAAATTTCATTACCTCATTTCTTTCAACATATAATTGGTTAAATGGTAACTTTTTACAACAAGACACATGGAATCTTTGGGCAGTAAAAGTTATCACTTTTATTGGTAGCATTCTTTTAGTTACTATTCTACAAAATATGTATATTGCTTTTATGGGGTATGTTCATTTTATTTTCCCTTCAAGTTTTTTTTAAACCTAATTAATTAACGGTAATTCGTTAAAATAATTAAATACCTATTATTAGTGGTGTGTATTCTAAAGCATATGAGAAAGGTCGTGTTGCATTATTACGATTTCGTGCAGAATCAATTTCAGACTATGAGGCATTAGATGAAATATATTTTTATCCTCCATCACCAGAACCAAAATATATTTATTATATAGGTAAATCAAAAAGTTATAATGAATGGGTTGCGAATGTTAAAAAATATAAGAAAAGAAACTTATATGAGGATTATGAAAAGAAAATGTTTGAAAGAAAATTAACATATGAGGATGAAGAAGATGATTGTTCCGGTGATGTTGATAGTTCTGAAAGTGAAATAAAGAATGAAAAAACTAGCATTAAAGAGCTTAATAGTAAGTTAGTTAAGAAAGGAAAGGAAAATGAAATTAGTATTACTGAGCTTGATAATAAAGTTGCTAAGGAAGAAGACATTAACATTATTAATGATCTGTATAAAAAGATTAATGATTTTAATACTAAGATTAATGATCTTAATACTAAGATGAATGATTTTAATATTATAAATAATAGCAGGAATGATGAGCTTAATAGTAAGATTGATAAATTACTTAATGCAATCATTAAGTAAATTACAGAAATTTAGGATTTCAAAATTTACTTTTCTTTTAGATCGAATAACCTTCTGGTAAAATAAATTTTGCTACGAAATTTCATTTTTTTTGTCATTGCGCTCTTCGATTTAATAAATAATATATAAGTAAATAGCGCTTAGTTTATATTCCTTTATTTATTATTATTAAACCAGAGAACAATAAATTTTTTATAAAATCGGTATATTTATAATTTTAAAGGTTGTTTATTATTAATTATTGAAAATCAACATTTACAAAACATATTTATAAATATTCTATTAAACTAGCATGATAATAAACAAATATCTTCTCAAAAGAATTACGCAATCATGATCATGAATTATAATATCTGTAATTTGAGCTCCAAGTTTGCAAATTCGAAATTTAACATGCATTAGGGGATTTTCTTATAATATAAATTAACGTTTGCTTTTGAAATTGTATAGCTCATTTAATCCTGATTTATGTAAAGTTGATAGACTTGATTACTATTGGGCGGTTAACTGCTCGCCAAAGGTTTCTTTAAGCCATATTTTTAGAAATAGAATTTTGTAATTAAAAACAGTTCCGAGCTGATTGGATTAATTTTTGCTTGTTAATTGAAGATAAATCAAGATTTACTTGACGATTCGATTTTAATTTAAATAATTTGAATAATCTGTGAATTTATGTGTGGTCGGATGGATGTATTATAATTCTATATAAAGGGGTCTTCGCCTTTATTGATTAAATACAATTTTAATTTCTTTATTACTTTTTCTTGCTAGTTTTATCACAAATGTCACTAAAAAAAAAAAAATTTCGTAAGTCGTAAGTATAAATTTACGTATAGTCTAACTTTAGTTCTAGTCATTTTCTTTATGTAGGCAAACTTGTAACAAACCAAACAAGGAATAATAGTGTTACACCACTAAAAGCGCATTTTTTTTTTTATTAATATTAAATTATAAATACTAAATAATTAATTATTAAAACTATATATTTATTAAAAGAAAATGTTGAACCAACTGAACTTTAAAAATAACCGGATTTAAATAGCCCAGAACTTCCACGATTTGATCAATTTTCGGTTGCACCGGAACTTCCACAATTTGATCAACAAGCCTCTATTAAATAAATATCAGCAGCAAAAATTTTATCCACTTCCTATAGAACATCCAAACCAACAAAATTACATTGAAAAACAAGTTCATAATACACAAGAAGATTTCAAAAAGTCACCAAAGTAATCTGAATCCTCTTTCGCAGTTAATGCATGTAAATATAAAGTTCCGTCACCTTTAAAACTAAAATTTCAATTTCTTGAGCCTTTTATTTTAGATGATCTTCAGCTGACGATATCTTTTCTTCAATCAATTTAAATAACAATGACACCTAACTGGATTCAAAGAAAATATTCTAATACAAGAATTTCAAAAGTTAATAAATATAACTTTAACTTTATTCATCGTAGTAGTAGAGACAGCTATGGTACAACATTATACTTAGTATGTATAATGTACGGGGAGCATGTTTATTAAAGACTAAATATGATACGATAATTGGTGGTTATAATTCTCTCGTTGGAATTACTATTTTCTTCGTAAAGGTGTAATTCGTAGTTATTATTGGTCTAATACACCAAAAGATTTATTTTTTCTTTAGGTGATGGAAACGATTTAAATATTTTTAAGATTATTCGAGTTGTTAATAGCGATAATGCAATATATGGAAGTTATTATCGGAATTTACCATTAAATTTGGCAATAGCGATTTTGTTAAATTACAATACTGGTACATTGCAATCAAGCCTATTATGAAAGTATCATTTTAGATATGAATAATTTCACCATTGAAGAAATGGAGATTCTTAGATTTATAATTTATGAAGTATTTTTAATATAAATGCTTTTTGTAATAAGATATTATTTTTAATCTTATTACATACTAATTGTCATAGATTAATTTAATAGAAAGTGTGTAAAGTTTCTTAGGCATGCGATAAATTCTGACGCCGCACTAATATTTATTGTCATTAATTGAATGTGTAAAACTTATACAAAAAATTCTACATGTGCATGTTGTCCTTGAAATTTCTATGACCATTTCATTAAATCCGACACTCTATGGAAGCAAAGAACGATTTTATAAAGTCAGATATAAGATTGCGGGTAAAACACTAATCTTATTTGGCGAAAGTTGAACCCTTTTAAAATAATTTAAACAATGCCGACGGATTTCGATTTGGTTCAATATTTCTGTTTTGTATAAAAAAAAAAAAAAAGGAAATCTTCAAAATAGTTCGATTTTGACACCGATTCAAAACCACAGGTTTGCCAAGCACCTTAGCCAGAACCATAGCAATTTTATATTTAACATTCCTTTCATTAAACAAAAGCGTATACTGTATATTATAAATATATTTGATTGTGAGATAAAATCAGCGTAGAAGTTATTAATATGGGAGTTTTCTATGTTATTAAAATCATATTACGGAGCATATGATTTACTGAATTCATAACTCGATTCTAACCTCCCATATATTTGTTGTGCCCAAATTTAAAGAACTACCCTAAATTCAAATTTCGATTTCGGGTAATCCAATTTGAAATTTCAAATTTGGGCAATGCGACTTTGCTGCCCCAATTTAAAATCGGGAAATTAGAATTTGAGACATGCGATGCCCAAGTGACCATTGTACTATTTTAAAACTGAGGCAAATTGGAAATTGAGATATACGGTACCCCAAGTTGACTATTTCCCCAATTTAAAATTGAGGAAAATTGGAAACTGGGTACAGAGTGCCCTAAGTTTGCTATTGTCCCAATTTAAATTGTGCAATAAACAACTTGGGACATCACAAACATTGTCAGAGATCAAAGCCACAATTGATCATAATAATTTATACACGTGGTTAATTATTGCTAAGTTCGGAGGTTTGAAATTTCAAGTTAGACTGCCCGAAATTGAAATTTCAATTCTGGACAATATGGATCTGAAGTTGGGACGAATTACAACTTGAGGTACCACATATATATATTTGAATGTGGAAATGTAAATAACTTTTTTAAATATTATTCTATCATGCAATCTACTTTCTTTAAAGCAGGTCGTTTACATCATCTCAGTTACACCGATGCGATGATATGCTCATATTTGAATTTTTCAAGATTACGTTCACGTGCAAAATAATTTCTTCCTTCTGAAAAATATCATTGATTCAATAGGTCTATCAGATTTATTAACGATGAGTGATTTTGGTAACTGATATAATTAAATTAATAACATGCTTTGGAGGATCATCTAGTGAAGATAATACAAAAAAAATTAGAAAAAAATTGTAACACCCAATGGATAATCAAAGTTTTCATGATATTATTCACTTGACAAGAATAAACATACAAAAAAGCCAAAACTCATTTACTACTTCATATTGATGTCAGTTAAAGGATTATACTGATAATATTGCAGTACTTAGTTTATGTGTGCTCTTTTAATATATAAAGATATAAAGTCAACTTGCCCATGTCATGTTTCTTCTTATGAAATGTTCATGCCCATTTTTTTTTATGGAAAACAGACAGTTTGTTATTTAATTATCATTCATGACAATATTTTATGAGCAGCGCAGCAAATGAAAATTAAAAATTCTCGTTATCCGTTCCGAAGCCCTGTAAAATTTCGAACATTCGTTAAACTATCCGAAAATCCAATTTTCTTCATCATTGGTAGTTTTTGGCCATGTATTTTATCTGTAGAAAGATAACTAGTCTTGATTATGTATAAAACCTCGTTTAAGATGTTAATCGAAGGCGAATTTTTTAATTGCAGCATAAACCGAAGTAAATGCACCCGAACAAATTATAGAATACATTGTAGAGTTCAAAGTCGAAATAACGAGTTTCACAATCTTTGAGGCTAACTATAATAAGTATAAACATTAACACAACTTTTTTTGGGCGCAATAAAAAAAACCATTTTTAGTTTAGGAGGGATCATCGTTTTTTATCCTTCACGGATTTATCTACTTAAGCTGTAAAAAATTTTTTTTTAAAAAAAAGCAAATGGAGTTTAATTCGTCGCAATGAGCCAAAATTATAATTGCTTGAAACAAGATATATTTAATCCTATTGCAAGAATGGATGAACAGTTATAACGTCAGAATATACTATTCGAAATAAAAAAAGGATCAAAATACTTATTAGTGTTTTAATAATTTGTTGATTTTTTTTTGATTTTAACTTTTATTAAATCATCTTTTCTTATTCAATAATTTCTTTCAGGTTAGTTTTAGACAGTGGATGCCGCAGCAACTATTTGAGTTAGATTTTCTTTCATTTTTATATTTTAAGTGTTTCAATGAGCTAATACTATGTAAACTAT